TTTCGGGCAAAAAAAAGTCAAAAAAACTCTAAATTGAAGACTAATTATCCACGATTTTTAAGAAAATTTTTGAGGTTAAAGGGCACGGTGTCGAAAAGTCTTGAAATTCTAGGGGATACATCTCAGGGTCATATGATGCCATTTGGAACCATATATGATCATTATTTGTTGTCATAAAATGTTCGTGTAGGCTTAAGTTAATGAAATCGGTGCAAGTTATAAACCGGTAATAAATAGGTCGTTTAAAGGAAAATTGGATGGTTCCACCCACCCAAATGGACAATCGGAGGGTATTAAAGACCATGGTAAACATTTCGGAAATTTTTATTTCCGGGCAAAAAAAAGTCGAAAAATGAAAAATTGAAGGCTAATATCCACACTTTTTGAGAAATTTTAGAGGTTTCAGGGCACGGTGTCGAAAAGTTTTGAAATTTTAGGGGATATATCTTTAGGTCATATGATGCCGTTGGAACCATATACGATTGTTATTTATTGTGTTAAATGTTCATGGTAGGCTTGATTTAATAAAATCGGGGCAAGTTATAAACCGGTAATAAATATGCCATTTAAAGGAAAATTAGATGGTTCTACCCACCCAATTGGACCCCCGGAGGGTATTAGAGACCGTGGTAAACATTTCGGCAATTTTTATTTTTGGACGAAAAAAAGTCAAAAAAATCCAAAAATTAAAGACTAATATCCACACTTTTTGAGAAATATTGGAGTTTCCACGGTCGGTGTCGAAAAGTCTTGAAATTATAGGAGAAATATCTCTGGGTCATATAATGCCGTTTGGAACCATATATGATCATTATTTGTTGTGATAAATGTTCGTGGAAGGCTTGAGTTAATAAAATCGATGCAAAATGTAAAACGGTAAATTGATCGTTTAAAGACAAATTGAATGGTTCCACCCACCCAATTGGAACTCCCGGAGGGTATTAGGGACCATGGTAAACATTTCGGCAATTTTTATTTTCAGGAGAAAAAAGTAGAAAAAAAATTCCAAAATTGAAGACGGTTAATATCCACGCTTTTTGATAAATTTTAGAAGTTTCAGGGCCCGATGTCTAAAAATATTGAAATTCTAGGAGATACATCTTGGGGACATATAATGCCGTTTGGAACCATATATGATCATTATATGTTGTCAAAAATGTTCGTGGTAGGCTTGAATTAATGAAATCGGTGCAAGTTGCAAATTTGTAAATTGGTCGTTTAAAGGCAAATTAGATGGTTCCACCAACCCAATTGGACTCCCGGAGGATATTAGGGATCATGGTAAACATTTCCGCAATTTTTATTTCCGGGCAAAAAAAAAGTCAAAAAACTCTAAAATTGAAGACTAATATCAGAAATTTTTGAGGTTAAGGGGCTCGGTGTCGAAAAGTCTTGAAATTGTAGGGGATATATTTCTAGATCATATGATTCTGTTTAGAACCATATACGATTGTTACTTGTTGTGTTAAATGTTCGTGGTAGGCTAGATTTAATAAAATCGGGGCAAGTTATAAACCGGTAATAAATAGGCCATTTAAAGGAAAATTAGATGATTCTACTCAAACAATTTGACTTCAGGAGGGTATTAGAGTCCGTGGTAAAAATTTCGGCAATTTTATTTTTGGACGAAAAAAAAGTCAAAAAAATCAAAAATTAAAGACTAATATCCACACTTTTTGAGAAATTTTTGAGGTTTCAAAACCGGTGTCGAAAAGTCTTGAAATTCTAGGGGATATATCTCTGGGTCATATAATGCCGTTTGGAACCATATATGATCATTATTTGTTGTGATAAATGTTCGTGGAAGGCTTGAGTTATAAAATCGGTGCAAAATGTAAACCGGTAAATTGGTCGTTTAAAGGCAAATTGGATGGTTCCACCCACCCAATTGGACTTCCGGAGGGTATTAGAGACCATGGTAAATATTTCGCAATTTTTATTACTGGGAAAAAAAAAGTAAAAAAAAATTCCAAAATTGAAGGTTAATATCCACGCTTTTTGAGAAATTTTGGAGGTTTAGGGCCTGGTGTCGAAAAGACTTGAAATTTTAGGGGATACATCTCGGGGTCATATAATGCAGTTTAGAACCATATATGACCATTATATGTTGTCAAAAATGTTCGTGGTAGGCTTGAATTAATGAAATCGGTGCAAGTTGTAAATCTGTAAATTGACCGTTTAAAGGCAAATTGGATGGTTCCACCCACCCAATTGGAATACCGGAGGGTATTATGGATCATGGTAAAAATTTTGGCAATTTTATTCCCGGGCGCAAAAAAGTCAAAAAATTCCAAAATTGAAGACTAATATCCACATTTTTTGAGAAATTTTGGAGATTTCGGGGCCCGGTTTCGAAAAGCTTTTAGATTTTAGGGATACATCTCGAGGCCATACAATATCATATGTAGTCATATATGATCATTATACGGTGTCATAAATGTTTGTGGTAGGCTTGAGTTAATGAAATTGACGAACTTGTAAACCGGTAAATTGGTCGTTTAATGGCAAATTGGATGGTTTCACCTAGGGCTGAGCAAAACTACCCAAAAACCCGAAAAATAGATCTGTAACCGTTCCGAAAATTAGGGTATCTGATCCGATAACCATAATGATTCGAGTACCCATTCCAATAATTTGTTATCGGGTATGGTTATTGGGTATCATTTTAAAATTAACGGTTACCCGATCCGTTCTGATAAGCATTTTTTTTTTTTGCTTTTTTCCCTACTTAAATCTACCTTTTAAAAATCTAAACTCTTACTTTACTTTATAATTACCTTATAATATCAATGATTAGTAATATTATTATTAATTTGGTCAAAATCATATGATATCGTTTTTAATTAGTGGTAAATTATATCAAAATAACTACATAGTTAAGTTTAATTATCATTATTAGATATCTTATTGGGTACCCGATAACCGATCCGAAAATCCGGGTACCCGAACTTATCAGTTCGGGTTATGGATATCACTTTTAGGAATTTTTGTTATCGGGTACCCGAACCGTTAGTACGGGTACCCAAAACGTTAGTATGGGTACCCGTCCTATGATTACCCCTAGTTCTACCCACCCAATTAGACTCCCGGAGGGTATTAGAGACCATGGTAAACCTTTCGTTAATTTTTATTTTCGGGCGAAAAAAAAGTAGTCAAAATATTCAAATATTGAAGGCTATATCCATGCTTTTTGAGAATTTTTAGAGTCTTCAGGGCCTGGTGTCGAAAAGTCTTGAAATTCTAGGAAATACATTTCGGGGTCATATAAAGTCGTTTGGAACCATATATGATCATTATTTGTTGTCATAAATGTTCGTGGTAGGCTTTAATTAATGAAATCGGTGCAAGTTATAAACCGGTAAATTGGTCGTTTAAAGGCAAATTGGATAGTTCCACCCACCCAATTGGACGCTCGGAGGGTATTAGGGATTATGGTAAAAAGTTTGACAATTTTTATTTCCGGGTGAAAAAAAAGTCAAAAAAATTCCGAGATTGAAGGCTAATATCCACGCTGTTTGAGAAATTTTGGAGGTTTCGTGTAGAGTTGTCAATTCGGGTAAACGGGTCAAGTTTGGGTCGGCAAGAGTGGGTCGGGTCAACTCGGGTCAGTTTAATTCGGATTAATTTCATAAATTATGCAGGTCGGGTTTGGGTTGGGTCATGTTTTAGTTGGGTCACGTCGGGTCATACTTATTATCAGGTTTGGGTTGAGTTTAGGTCGGGTTAATAACAGGTCGGGTTACATTCAAGTCGGGTGAACAATAGGTCGGGTTTAATTCGGGTTAGGGTAATTCTGGGGTTCGAGTTGGTTTCGATTTTGGTCAATAATTTGCGGGTTAGAATCAGAATGGGTCATTCTCGGGTTTGAGTCGGGTTTGGTTCAACTCAATAATTTGCAGGTTATAATTAGGTCAAGTCATTTTCAAGTCGAGTTTTTCTTGAGTTCAAGTCGGGTTCAGTTCAAGTTAATAATTTGCAGGTTATAATCAGGTTGGGTTATTTCCAAGTCGAGTCATTCTCGGATTCAAGTCGGGTTATGTTCAAGTCAATAATTTGCAGGTCACAATCAGGTCGGATCATTTCCAAGTCAAGTCATATTCGGGTTCAACTAAGTATAAATAGATTATAATCATTTTTATCAAGCTAATTATTTCCTTTGACTATAATATATATATGGCAATATAATAGGGAACTATAGTCTATTTAGGAAGATAATTATCTTCTTTGACCATACAACAAATATATACTATATTTAACTCTTAAATTTGAGGATGATGCTCCTTTCTTTTGCTGGCCTGGACGACCGACTTGGTCTCCCTAGACAAAATGCTTTATCAACAATAATAAGGTGGTCTAAATTGCATTTAAGGTGATTTTAAATCGGGTCAGGAACAATTTGGGTTGAATTTAGGTCGGGTCAATAACAAGTCGTGTTGATTCCGAGTCGGGTTAGTAACAGATCGGGTTGAATTTTTTGGGTCAGGTTAGGTCTGGTAAAATTCTAGTCGGGTCAATAACAAGTCAGGTTGAATTTGGGTCAGGTCAATAACAAGTTGGGTTGATTTCGGGTCGGGTTTGTAACATGTTGGGTTAAATTCGGGTCGGGTTAGGAACAGGTCGGGTTAAATTCAGGTCATGTTAGTAACAAGTCGCGTTAAATTCAGGTTTTGACGGGTTAAAACGGGTTTGGGTCAATTTTGGTTCAAGTCGGGTTCGGTTCAGGTCAATAATTTATCGGTTACATTCGGGTCAGGTCATCTCCAGGTCAGTTCATGTTCTGGTTCGGGACTCACATACTCGGGTTAACTCGGGTCTACGGTTAGTTTAGGTCAGGTTTGGGTCACCATTTTTTCGGAATCCGATAGGTCAATTAATAATCGGGTTTGAGTCGGTATTTCGTGTTGGGTCAACTTTTGACAGCTCTAGAAATAATTTAACTAGAATTAGTGACAATAAGCTAAGGTTAAGCAAGGAGCAATTACTACATTTGTATAGCAATATGGAGAGCATAAAATTCTATTTCATACTTCTTATACTTAAATTAGTTACTACATTATATTTTTTATGATTCTAATTATAAGAGTACAAGAATTTCACTGTAAGCAATATAGTTTACAAATCTTTTTAAACACTAGCCATATGCATCTCCCCTGTCTTCTCACCATTACAAGAATCACTTACAGCCGTACTTCTGTGAACATTTTTGTACTTATAATTCTTGGCCAAAAACACGAAAACACACATGTTCAACACAACCATGATCATCAATAGCCAGTAAAAATAATCAAGACGACTATGGTTCAAATCCTTGCCTATCCATCCCTTACCGCCTTTCAACTCTGTCACGTAGTCCACAATGTTTATTAAAAATGTACTAAGAAAGCTCCCTACACCGATAACACTAAGGTAAAACGCCAACCCTAAGCTCCTCATCGAGTCAGGAACTTGGTCATAGAAATACTCTTGCATTCCTACTAGGGAAAATCCGTCCCCTATACCAATTAGCAAGAATTGTGGAGCTAGCCAAAATACGTTCATCATTTTCCCTTGCAATGCTATCGTTAGCCTTTTCCTTTCCACTAAGGCCGAAATCATCATTGATATGATTAAAATGACCATACCAATACCGATTCTTGTAAGTATGTTGATGCCTCTCTCATTGCCCGTGGCTCTCCTTAAGTATGGTAGGAGGACCTTGTCGTAGAAGAAAACTGAGGCAATCATTCCTAGAGCCGTTAGGGTGTACACTGAAGCCGGTGGGATTTCAAAGTGTTTGAAGACTCTCCTATCCATCGCGCTTCCTTGCTTGATGAAGAATGTAGACCCTTGTGCAATGCCTATGCCAAACACCAAACAATTTAGCCAAATAGGAATTATGTTTATTATGAGCTTTAGTTCCTCTACTTGTGTCACGGTTGCTAGCCTCCACGGACTTTGGTTTTTCCTCGTTGCTCCATTATATTCACCATCTTCTATTATAGCAGCTTTGTCAAGAAATCTGCAATACAAACATATTATCAATCCTTTGGAATGTTTACAAAAATTAATCAAATCAAATGAGTATAGTACACACAACTAGCGCGAATAATTCCCCTGAATCATGTATTTACCTGAGCCTATTTGTGTGACTTAAATGTCGTCCTTGGAGTTTCTCTGTATTGTAAACCTCATATAACATGGAAGAATCCGAAGGACAATGAAGATTTCGCTTTGCAATAGCAGCGACAAAGACGTGCAACAACGGGGTTAAGGGGCTACCACGGGCACTCCTGTAACGATAAAATGGCCTTCCAAGAACAAATATCAAGACAGAAACTCCCATAGTTATTGTTTGTATAAAAAATCCAACACCCCAACCAAAATTGTCTTGCAAGTACACAATCAAAGTTACACCAAAGAAGAGGCCACTACAAAGTGCAACGTTCCACCAGTTGAAAAATGACATCTTTTGCTTCCGTTCTTCTGAATGATTGTCATCGAATTGGTCTGCCCCGAAACTCTCCAAGCACGGTTTATGACCACCCGTTGCTAGCGCCACGAGGTAGGCCGCTATGAAGAAGACTACCTCATGAACCTTGCTAGCATGATCACATGTATTTGGGGTTTTGCCACAAGGTTTAAGACTTGGAACATATTGTGTCATGGTAAAAAGACCTAAGCCCTGAACAAAAGAGGTAAGAAGTTAGTTTAAATTGTCAATGAAAAATGGTGCACAATCTAACCATCTAAGTTACAAATTAAATTAACCATATAGTTTTTCCAACTATCCAATGGTATATTGGTGGGCCAAAAAGCCCAATTATATTGGTTCGATCACCCTTTTGGGGTCTGAATAATGTCAATGCTACTTTTTGCATTTGATCAAAATGTAGGGCCCAAAGACAATGTTTGAAGACTTTGAACGAAAAGGCTCTTTCACTCAAACCTTGATTTACAAATACAAAGAAATTAAATTTTACTCCGTACTTGATTTTTCTAAACTTATGTAATATGGAGTACATAGTTTTTAACATGGATTATTAATTTATAAAGTTGACTAAATGCATACTTTTTACCAATAATTTATTAAAAATTAGTAGTATTAAACTAACAAGATTATATTTTTAAAAAGTTAAACCTCTTAGATAAGATTAATAATTGAATGAAACAAACATCCTTTGCTCAACAATTTAAATTAATTTACTTTTTACTTAAAATTTGTACTTCATATGAGATATAAGAAAAAGATAATACCTTCATTTTTTATTAGTTGATACGTTTTGACTTTAGCACTATTCACACACCTCCTTTTGGCTATGTTTTGTGATTTTTATGTGAAGAAAAATATAGTCATGTAAGATCTTTTTAGATTCGTCACAATGTATATTTTTAAAATATCAAACTTTTTATAATTTTTGTTTATCGGTAATTAAAGATATCAACGATTGACTTTGTGCACTGACAAACGTGACTAAATAAACGTGTCAATTAAAAAGAACGGGTGAAGTATTAGTTTTAACTTTTTAAAAGAAAATTCTTCTAGAAAATGTAAGGCACTACAACTTGCTTGCCTAGGTAAATTCCAAAATAACCAATAGTGGTGAATTTGCAAAAAAAATTGACATTATTTGTGAGTAATACTCTTCAAGATAGGAGTTTTGTGACTTGCATACAAACATGTAATCATATTCATAGTTGTTGCATGTCTCTTTCTCTAAGGTTGTTATAAAGTATGACTTCATCACTTTTACTTTAATTTCCTTATTGATTGACATGTTAAACGAAAAGTCTAATTTATTGCGTAAATTTATGAATAACCTACCAGCAAAAAAAGTATAGAAATTCAACTATAACACTTATTTCTCAAAAAGTGATGTACTTATATTTTTGGTGAAAAAAGTATGTACTTGGTAAAGAAAGTATTAGTCTATTTATTACATATAATTGGGGCTAATATCCATTGGCTATGCTCTAAAGAGCCAATCGGATGTCTTGTCTTAAAATTTGGTTATGCATTACATATAGGGTTGTATATAACCATTATATTAAATAAATTTTCTATAAATAATAATTCCTTTGTTTTTGTCGTTCTAATTTGAATATTTGATTGTGTATGTTTGTCAATGCATTTATATTTTTGACTAATACTGTAATGTCTTTAATTGTGTAATAGCAAAATTTATAAACACTACGTAGTACTTGATATTCTTATAGCATTTATTGAAATGAATACGACAAGTTTCCGAGTATTATATATATTGAGAGTCATTTTTACAAGATTTTTTTTTCAAACAAGTGAATAGTGTCAAGATTCTAAATTTGAACAAAAATACATAAATATTTGAGAATATATGACAAAATTATCCATTGATCAACATTATGCAATAACTCTGAACTATTTCCTTTCTAATCTTCGCTTATGTAATATGTCGTCAGTTGCATTTATCATTTTGCTTTAAAATTAAAATCCAAATATAAAGCAAAAGCAATTAAAAATTTATTATTATTAAAGAGTTAGGGAGGAGAGAGAAAAGACTTGCCAAGACATAGATAATGGCAGAGAAGAGAATCATGAAGTAGCGGCCAGTGTAAGCATCCGCAAGAAACCCACCAAGAAGAGGCATCACTGTTGTTACTCCTGACCATAAATTCACACTACTCGCCGCCGTTTTCAAGTCTTGGTGCATCACTTTTGTCATGTATGTTATCAAATTTGTTGCTATTCCAAAGTAGCTCAATCTCTCACTAAACTCAATGGCTACATACATAAATATATATATATGTAATCATGTCAACCGATATCAAAATTTTGTTGAGCTATATATATATCAGCAAATAATCTTAAATGAGTCAAACTTACAATAACTTCAATTTTTATTATAGGAAGCTGATGAGACGTCATCTAGTCTAGTCATAAGTTATTAAAAGAAGTTCGCCTCATATAAGATTTTGCTGATAATATAAAAATTAAAAAAACTAGCCTAGTATAATAATGTATAACAACAAAAAAGTTAAGAGATTACCTATGATGAAGAAGGAGGCTTTCCATGAGCCAGTGGAAGCTCGACGAGGAATCCTTCCTTTGTAATCATACGACGAATCAAGAACTTGTGATTTCGTGACATCTTCATCTTCTTCTTCTACTTGGAATTTCTTTAATGGGATTTCAGGAGTACTTAATTCACCCATTTCTTTTTGTATTTTTTGCATTATCGTTATAAAATGATCGCAAATAATATTGGAAGGACGTTATTAAATCTAGGAGGGTAAGAGTGACTATGGCATGGTATTTATTGTATGAAAAAAGACGTAATCCTAAGGTCTAAATTGTCACTTATAGTGGTGTTTAATTTTTTTTGACCAAGTTAACAAAGATAGTGCACGGTGCAATCAATTGATGAATACTGTACAGTGTGTATGTATAGTACCCTCCACTCATCTTTGCGCAAATTGGAAGTTGGGAGGATGCAAAGAGTTTAAAGAGACATGTAATATGCTCTCAAAAAGACGTAACAATTTATGCTATTCTCCAACTACTTTAGAAAACAGCCAGCCATATACACCGATTTATTACTCGTTTCTTAAATAATAATCCGTATGTATTTCATTCAACAAAATAACATGACACCGTACCCTTGATGGATGAGATGTCGTTTGGGACAAGCTCAAGGGCACAACATGGCCACCGAGGGGGGTTTTGGGGCAATACTCCCAGAATTTATTACGGTATCTGTTATGTGGGCTATAATTTTTTGTGTTAGGGTCTATTTAGGTCTTTTTTTTTTTTTTTTTTGGGGGGGGGGGGGGGGACTATATAAACTCCTTTAGGGTTAACCTACCAAATCTGGAAAACTCTCCCCTCACCTGTCCATTGATATATAACTAATTCATTGTTTTAGAGAAAACGTTAAATCATTATTCTTGTTTATTGATTTCTTTAATCTTTAATTACTTGCATCTATTTACTTTTTTTTTTTTTAAAAAAAAAAAAAAATATGTTCCACGTATCCGGCTCTCCCTGTGGGCTAATCCGAATTTGGAGATCAGTTCTGAGTGGTTAGGTTCCAGTCCCCTTCCAATTGTTGTTGAGTGAGATCGAATACGAATTCTCCCTACCAAGTCCAATCTCAATCACCACTACACCAATAACCAATTGATATTTCTTGCATCTAATATAACAATATTATACCTCATATATAAGTTGACTCATCACACCCGCAAGGCCGCAATTGGTAGATAAGCAAGTATTATATAACGTGACTATATTCAATGGATCGATCGGAGTGTACCATAGTCATAAACTCATAGTGAGAGCATTAGTTACCTTTAAAATTATTAATAATATAATAAATTTAAAATAAAAAACACATTTTAATTTTAAAAAATTGAATTGGTTCTTAAGGTGGAGCCGTAGAGGTTGGGCCTTGGGGTGGTGCGCAGCAAATTGCAAATGTGAGGTCAAACTTGGTTGCTTGATAACATGATAAGTAAACGTCAACGAGGATTTGATATATATATTGACCATTAACAAGTTTTAGTGGAAATTTTATACATGATTGCAACCACAAAATCCACAATATTAAGTGTAGGTCTTGAAATTAGGAGTGAATAATATATAACATGTTTCATGACCCCTTATTGGCCTTATTATATTACATAAATAAGTTGACTTTTAAGTGGCCAAGTACATTCACACATCTATTATGAAGTGGCTAAAAGTTTCCTCCAAAAAAAAAAAAAAAAAAAAAAAATAATTGGCTAAATAGTAAATATGTTATATATGAAGTACATGTATGCACTTTAATTTCCTGATTTAGAATGTAATATATATACTTTATATCTTGCCATTTTAAGAGATTTTTCAATGATAATTCAATTCCAAAATTGCAAGTGAAAATATACTTTGTATTAAACTAAAAAAAAGGAGGAAGTATGAAGTACAAAGTATAACTTTGCCCTCTTAATAAAAGAGTGTTGTTTTGAATGTACATTTTTCTTTGATACATATGGGTGTAGGTGTACGGTATGTATATGTAGAAATAATTGCATCTAGCATGCACTACGTATTATTAAGAACCTATCAAATGTCGACATGTCGTTAATACCAACTTTGTTTATATCTTATAAGGTTGTATCTATTGTGACCTAATAACATATCTCATTCATGTCGATCACTCTTTATGCCTTTCGAACACACAACCCCCCCCCCCCCCTAAAAAAAGAAACAATAAATGTATTTATTAAATCCTCCTAAACGTTAAAATGTAATATAATCTACTGCTCCCCGTATAAACTTATTAAGTCCTTTTGCATATCCTAACCTTAATCCTCTTCTAAATTATCCTTGATTTGATAAGCAAGAATTAGAATAATTTGCTAATGTCACATATAATCCAATATGTATATATATATATGATTCCATGCATTATCCAATCATTGGTCTTTATTACTTTATTTATTTTTATTTACTTTGAATTTCAATATGAATTCTTTTAAATCCTACTGTCAAAAGGAATATATATATATATATATATATATATATATATATATATATATATATATATATATATATATATATATATATATATTCCTTCATTTTGCTTTAATTTGCATGTGTAACATTTAACCTCCTATATAAACCCTTTTGTACCGTTTGCTTTAGTATTCCAGAAATCAGCATATATTCTACCCATATTATATGGTTATAACTATTTATATATCATGCTTTTCTAGATGCTTTTTTAGCTTTACTTTTTACAATTAAACAAGATGACATATTCTGTCTAAACCCGTTTTTAATCCATATTATGCGGTTGAAAATTAGATACGTTATGTCGATCGTGTACTAAGCATTATACCAAATTGACAAATTATTGGTTGCTAATTGGAGTATTAATGATTTTTTTTTTGTAAAGATAGGCAAATAATTATTACTCCTAGTTAATTGTGATCACTACTTAATTGAGATGTGATCATGAATTCTGAATCAAATGGAATGAGGGGTCTGGCAGTTGAATATTTCTAAACCACTAGTGATACTAAATTATTTCTTATTTGTGGTACTAAGATAAGCTAGTATGTATACTAATTAACCTACCCTTTCTTGTCTATTATTCAATCAATCAATCTAGCTTAGCTGAGCTTGCTCCCTTGAATGGATTCGTGTTAATCCAAAGAAGCTAATTTATTATTCTGATCCTCAAGGAATATGATCACAAAACTATGACAATGGGCCATGTCGATAGTATTATTTCAAATAGTTATGTGAAAATTAATATTGACGGACAAATTAAAGTACTCCGACATATTTAGTTAGGATAATTAGATAATGAGTAAATACATTAGAGCATGAGCCACCACATACATATGCCAAAAGAAGTTTTACAAAAACATATTTACGTCATTGCTAACATGTAGAGACATCAGCGTCAATCAAATGCCAAAATCTCAAGTAGTGTTGCAATGGTAACTAAAATTTGAAAGAAGCTAAAATTTTATTTGGTTAAAAGGTATAAACAAGATCAATATTTTAGATGTGATTTATGTAGAAGCTAGGTCAAAATAAAAATTATCAATTATTCTCAAAAAGAACAAGTCAATTTTGATAGAGTACAAAACATGTTGTTGGATCTCGCTCATTAGCTTAACCTTTTAGTTGAGTTGATCCTTTAATATGGTATAAGGCCCTGTTTGATTCACCTTAATTTTGCTGAACTGAAATTATTTTTACTGAACTGAACTTATTTTTACTGAACTGAATTTAATTTTACTGAACTGAAATTATTTTTACTGAACTTAAATTATTTTTACTGAACTGAAATTATTTTTACTGATTTTCTATTATAATTCTTCTTTAATTAAACTGAATTTTACTGAACTGAACTTATTTTTACTGAACTGAAATTATTTTTACTGAACTGAAATTAATTTTACTGAACTGGACTTATTTTTACTGAACTGAAATTATTTTTACTTAATATTATTTTTTTTAAGGTGAAGTGAACAGGGCCTAAGTTTATAAAAGAACAGGGTCAATTTTGATAGAGTATAAAACATATTGCCGAGCCACAACTTTTAGTTTAAACTTTTGGTTGAGTTGGTTCTTTAACATGGTATAAGTTTATAAGTTGAAACGAAAAGTAAATTAGCTTATATGTTACTGAAAAGCATGCCAAGATAGCTTTATTCGATCAGTTTAATGGCATCATTGGGAATTCATCGATCTTCATCGCTTTTTCCTCCACTCACAGTGACATAATGTGGTCACACAATATAATTGTTTGTTCGTTTCTAAAAGAAGTTATTATACTATAAGGCCAATATTATGGAATAAAATAGGTTTTGTTTCGGATGAAAACAATCGAATCTCGGAAGATCCTTTTATCTTGAGGGAACTTGGTCTCGGTCCGAACGACGCAGGAGCCGAGGGTTTCCTGCACAACAAATACACGTAAACTAGCCTCGGGGGGGACGCCGAGGAAGGCCCCTCCGATGCTTAAGTCAGTATATTAGAGAGAGAAAGCTGTGCAAGAGTTTAGTTGCTTGAGGCTTTATTGTCTTACCAAGAATTGACCAAATTGTTGGCTTTTATACCTTGGCTAATGAAGGAGGCGGATTGGGCCCGGAAGTCAGTTGGGCTGGGCCAAGCTGATTGGGCCGTTGACTGACCTTGACATGGCTTTGAGGATGTTGATTTTTGACTTTAGCACATTTGGAGAGTTGAACCTTAACCTTGGGCTTTTAATTGGATCATTCAGTGACCAGGCCCAATTGGACTAAATTGGACCCAAACAACTTGCCCCCCAGACCCGATTTGGAAGGATGACGGGTCGGGTTTGATTTAATCAGAAAAGGAGGGAAGTGAATGATTTGTTAATCCAAAAATGTGAATTTAAACCGTAATTAACCCATGATTAATGAGATAACAACAGTTAATGTGGATAATTGCGGAAGTTGGACGGGTAGTGGGCGATTTAACTGCAAGGTCGTGTGTTTAACGGTTACTTAGTGGGGTGCTTGAGAGAAATTGAAACGCAGACTCCTTGAATTCCCATTTCTGGAGATATAAATAGAGGCGCGTCTTCTCTCCCCACTCATTCATCAACACAAACCCAGAATTCTCAAGAACGCTCAAGAGCCCGCATCAAAACTTCGCAAATTCCCCGAGCATTAAGCTTAGAAGCTGAGACTTGTCACTACCAATTCGTAAATCGGCGGCTTTTGCTTCAGATCAAGGTAAATTCCTTTGATTTTATTTCATCTTTCTTCGACTTTGCACTCTTTCCCCTTTTTCGACTTTTTCCTTCGAAATTCGTCAATGGTGAGGGGAGTTAGAGGTGGAGCCCGTGCTCCAAGAAGAGCAAGGCTAATCCCCGATCCCAGGGACAGGATTGGGACCTGGAATGGACGAAGGACAGAGTCTGACCCTGCTGAAGGGGTTAGGGCGACTCCCATTTCTTCGGCTCCTCCTCAGAGAACGGATGAGCCGAGTGCTTCTGGACGGGACGATGAAATTCCCGCTGTCCTTTGGGATATCCTCCCTGGGTTTTCAGAGTGGGAGAATGCCGAAGTCGCTTCGGCCATGATAAAGAACCGCCCCTACTCATGGTGGGTAGAGAACGCCGATCAATATCGATTTGCCGAGCAAATTGAGTTGCACTACGGCATTTTTGAAGCTGATGGATATTGGTGCCGAATGCCCTCAGCATCCGATAGAATCCATCGTCCACCCCCGGGGTATGTGGGGGTGTACACGAGACAGCTTCAGTATGGGCTGAGGTTCCC